AGGCGCCTGCCTGCGGGAAGACGCTGACCGAGGCGGGGAGGGTCACGCCGACCGGCACGCTGCTGAGCGGGAGGGGCAGGGAGGCGCTGTAGGTCATGGAGCCCAGGGGCGCACCCACCGGCCCGCTGGCCGCCATGCCCAGCGCTGGCGACCCGGTGCGCATCTGGTTGAGGGTCGGCCTGCCCTGCTCGGCGCCGCCGAACCCGAACGGGTTGGTGGGAGACGGAGCGCTTAGGCCTGTGGAATGAGAGGGGTGGGGGGTTGAAGCTCTTAATGACAGGGAGCAAGCTCTAGGGTCTTAGAAGGAGGGGGTGAGATTCTCTGGCCCCTTGGGCTCGGAAGGAAGAACAGAGTGCCAGCCGCATCCCGCATCCCGGTATGGAGACCTGGCGGGGATGAGGGCTTGACCTACCTGTTAGGAAGGGGTTCCGGGTCTTTGCCGCCTGGGGTGCCTTGACCAATGAATCAAGGTTGACCAAAGAAGAGGCTGAGGGGCCCAGGAAGGACTCAGGGGTCGGGCAAGCTCTGGCCTCCTTGCTGGGCTGGGTTAACACTTCCCCCATTACACCCAGGTCGAAAGTATCTGGTTCCTTGGTGCCATTCTGTTTGGAACTGGGGATGGGGTCTCCAAACAGGTCCAGCTCTGCAAGAGACACGGTAGAGTTCACTGGTGTGGAGACGGGGTGGCCACAGCTGTGGGAACAAGAGTGCAGAGGCCAGCTCTGGGTGCCCCCTCACTCCCCAGAGTCGTGTCCCCCTGCCTCCTGCTTACCCACGGGGCTGCTGGGCTTCTCAGAGGGCACAGTCTGCACACACCCCAGCCCCTCCTTGTTTTCCGTGGATACTGGAGGTTTGGCAAATGGGTCAAAGGTACCACCTAGGGCTAGCCAGGAAAAAGGGAAAAGAGATGGGCTGACACGAAGGTCAGACTCTGCTGTGACCCCCTTTCCAGGCAAGCACCCCCTATTAATAGGTAGGATGTGCCATCCCCCTTAGCATTGGAGGGAGGGGGCACCCTGAGGTCCTCCAGCTCTTCACCTACACCTTCTGGCCCTCCACTTACCAGGTGTGTTAGAGGTCTCCATGGAGGCCCCCCAAGGGTCAGCCCCAACAATGAGCTGATGGTGGGGGGAGTTCTGTGCCCAGGGATCTGTGACAGAGGGTCCAGCAGGCAACACTGGGGTCCGGCCCCAGGGTTCAGAGGAGGAGAGTGTAGGAGGCAAATCCCAGGGCTGACTTCGAGACAGGGCACTCCCCGAGGGAGCAGGAGACCAGGGATCTGCAGAAGGCCCCCAGGAGGAACCGCTGGGCTCTGTGTTCTGCTTGAGACCTGAAATGGGGACAGCACAGTCACTGCAGGCCCACATCACCCCAAGTCTGGCACCCTTCCTGGTCGCCCAGACCAAAGTGGGAGCCCTTTCATAGATGGGGTACTGACTCAGGACCACCCTGCAAGCTGGAGCCTACATTCAACCAGTTATCCCAGGAACTGGACCCCCATGGTCTGGTTGCAGGGGCAGCTCCAACCATCTTCCCAGACGGGGGTGGGCTGGAGCAGGAAAAGCCAGGGTGATCAGAGACAACAAAAGAATATGTCTGTGTTTCCCAAGAGCTTCAGGGGTGCCCCCATTTCTCACAGGTCTCTATGTCACAGAGGGGACTTAGGGGGTGACTTGCCCAGAAGCCCTCAGTACTGGGAGGGGGTACTAGCAAGAGGTTAGAAAGGAAGGAACTTGTTGGGGGCCGCCTGGGAGCCTCTTGCAGCCCTGCACGCCCACCTGGGATGTCCCACGGGTCAGCGGAGCAGTGTGTGGAGGGCGGGGCCTGGGCAGGTGTGAAGATGTCAGCCAAGTCCAGGATGGAGGACTGTAAAGGGAGGAGACAGCTGTGGCTCAGAAGTGGGTGGGGCGGGGGGAGGGTGGCCCTGGCCTGCCCGCCAAACTCTAGCTGGTTCTCGCCTTTATTCATTCCACAAACATCTATTAATAACCTCTCACCTCTGCACAAAGCTTTCCAGTTTATAAAATGTTTCCTCATCCATTTCGTGTCTCATTTTCATAACAACCGCATGCAGGAGGTAGGGCAGGTAGTGATGTGCCCATTTTACACATAATAGAGGGGAAACAATTTGCCTGACAGGGCGCAGTCAGGGAGAGACAGTCCTGGGGTAAGAACCCAGGCCCGCCTGAGCCCCTCCTCAGCCATTCTGCTCCTCAGCCTGTCAGCGACAAAGGCCAGATCTTACAAAGAGCCTATCTCCCAGGAGAAACATGGGCTGGAAGGGGGCAGAGATACCCCAGAAGCAGCATGGACAGCTTGGAGGGGGACCTTGCTCCCCTCCTCTGGGGAAGTGTCGTCACGCATCGCCTGTGTCACGACGGGGACAGGTTCTGAGAAATGGGTCTGTCCTTAGGTGATTTCATTGTGTAAACATCACAGTGTGCACACTCACACCAAACAAGGTGCCACAGCCTACTACACCCTAGGGATCGCTGTGATAGGCGGCCCGCCCCCGACCGAAAGGTCATCAGGGGGTCATGACCATATGGGCCCAAGATGTTTTCAGCACACAATGCCTGAGTCCACAGTATCATATGACCCTAGAGTGGCAGAGCTGGGTCTGTCTAACAAGACCTGTAGAGAGGAGAACAAGGCCCAGACAGCCCTGTGCCCCCGTCATCAAGGAAGTGGCAGCAGATGCAAGGAGCCGGCATCAAGACTCCTGGCACCCCACTCTGCCAGCCGCTCGGTCACCAGCCCCTCTGGTTGGGCCTGGGGGCTGCCACTCGCCCTTCACCCCATTCCGCTGAGTAAGTGCTTAGGTAGGGCTCTCTACAGGCCAAGCGCTATTCTACACCTTTACAGGTAGCAACCCCCTGCCACTCCCAGGGCTGTCACCTCGAGCAGCCCAGCCCCTTCCCACCTGGCTGGTTTTCAGCTTCTCCTCCTCAGCCTCTTCTCTCTCGGCCTCTCTGTCCTGCCGCCGCCGGCGGACTGCGGCCCCAGCACCGTTGGCCACGGGGGAGTCATCTCCCTGCCAAGACCGCACCTCCTGCAGAAGACGACGCGGGCTTCAGGAGCCTGAGCAGGCCGGGCGGGACTGCGGGGACCTGGGGTGGCATCAAGGAGAGCGCGGGGCGGGAGGTGGCGAGAGGTTAGCGCAGCAGGACCGCAGGTGATGCGGGAGGAGCCTGTTAGTGCCCACAGCACCTCCACCAGACCAGCCCCAGCGGCAGTGCAGGAGGCGCGGCCGGCCGCTACCTTCTCGTGCTCCTGCCGGCTCAGGTGCAGAGCCAGCTGCAGCTGCAGGTCCTCGTCCCTGTGGGACGCCGGGGGCACCGGCTGTGAGGGAGGGAGAGAGGGGTGAATTTGGCCCAGGGCTCCCACTCCGGGCCGAAGGGCAGCACAGCGCTGTGTGGGTAAGGAGGCGGAGAGCAAGAAAGGCCCACTCGGAGTGGGTGTGGGGAGCCGGTCCCGAGACAGCGAGGCGGTGCGGCCTCCCGGCCTGCATGCGAGATGCAGTTTGAAAACCAAGACTGATCCTTTTCTTTTCGGTTCCCTGAGTGCTCGCCAAGGCGGCTACTTCTGGCCAGTCTAGCTGGGTCTACAGAGCTGATGGCAGAGAGGATGATCTCGCGGCTGTGCCTGCACCCTGCCAAGGGACCGTGCTGTGCAGGGACGACATCTCTCTGCCTGCTGCTGTGAATCTACTAGCACCCACCCCCGTCACTCCCACGGCAGAAGCAGGCCTGTGAGACGCAAGGTGCCCTCAACCCACTGCACACTCACAGGCCTTCCCAGGCTCACCGAGAGGACTGGAGGCGAGGAGGGAGCCCCCGCCGGGATATCCATGGGCGCGGACAGCCCCAGCACTATCCTTGGAACAGGACTGGGGCTTTGGTGCCCGGAGCAGAAGAGCCAGGAGTAAAGGCTCTGGGACATCCGGGTCACTCTCCTCCTACAGCCCCCTCCCCAGCCCAGCCCAGCCCAGCCCAGCCAGCCGTGGCCTCACCTTCTCAGCCTCCTCCCGGCTCATGGCCAAGGCCAGCTGCAGCTGCAGCTCCTCCTCTCCTGAGGTCTGGGGCCGGGCCTGCTCCAGGTCCGACGTGTAGCGTGGGGATGAGGAGGATGCTGCAACGACCATCATGGCTCTGTAAACACCCAGCTGCCCACAGGTCGTCCCCCACCCACCCCAAGCCCACAACACACAGCAGGAAGCCAAGGCCCAGAGGGCGAAACTGCGGGGAAGGAACAACTGGCAGGTGAGGCCCAGGGGCCAGGCCTTGTGCTTGGCGCTTTCTGTACGGTTTCTTCTCTACTGCACTAACACCACATCACTCTGTCGGCATGCTACCCGGGCTCCGGGAAAGGAGGACCTTGCTGAGCACAGTCACACATGGCTCTGTGACACTTCAGTCAACAAGGGACGGTGGCTGCGATGGCGTCCAGGTTGTGCGATGCAGCTGGGTGAGCAGAGAGCGGGCTGCTCACTCCCTGTTGCAAGAGGCTTGTGTAACGCCCCCCACCCCACCCCCATGATGCTCGCACAAAGCCACAGTCACCCACCAACTCACTTCTTGGAATGTACCCCTATCCTAAGCAATGTGTGACTGTAGATCTCAGATCACTGCTTGGGGGGGAAAGGCAAGAGCTGCTCGGTCGGCCCCCATTCCCTGGGATGTGCCCTCCGGGGGCGGGAGGGGTCTAAGGGGAAGGCCACGAGGGAGCTCCATGTCCATGGGCCTGGCTGCAGGGCCAGGAACAGCCCTAGACGTGGCCTCATGTAATTCTCGTCAAACAGCTGAGACACCAGACAGCCCCGCTTTACAGATGAGGGAACTGAGGATCAGAGAGGTGCTGCTCTGGCCACGCAGCTTGGGAGGGTGGAGTGAGGCCTGGACTGGACGCCAGAGCCTCTGCGTCTCCGCCAGCCGTTCTCCCCGCACTGGTAAGGATGGCGGTGCCGGCGCGATGCCTTTACTGCTTCCGCTAAGGTATCGCGTGCCTACTGGGTGCTGCCTCTGGTCCCTGTCGTGGTCCTTATCACTGAGTCTCACGACTTCCCTCTGAGGTCAGGGGGTGCTCGGCCTCGGCCCCAGACCTGGCGCCCCAGACGCCGACACACCCCGGGGGTCACTCACAGTTGAAGGAGGACGGGGAGCCCCGAGAGCGGCTGTAGTCGTCACCGTGGCGACGGCTGAAGCCCAGCTGCCCGCTGCCAATGGCCATGCCCTCCAGCGCCATGCGCTCCTTGGTCTTGAGCGCGTGGGCCCGCTCCTGCCGGAGCCGCTCGTCGTCCTTGAGCAGGGTCATCACCTGCTTGACCTTCTCGCGCACGTTGACGCCCTGGTCCTTGCCGTCCCGGTCGATGTACTGGAAGTCCTTGAGCGTCTGGATGGTGTAGAGGTTTTCGCGGCACTGGTGGGCCACGCGCTCGGAGCCGGTCTTGAGCAGGTAGTCCAGCAGCGTCAGCGCCTTGTACACGTGCCTCCAGTTCTTGCCGCTGTCGTTGAGCCGCCGCCACAGCATGCCCATGACCTCGGCGAAGGCCACGGTGTTGAAGGTCAGGTCGGCGATCTCCGACATGAGCGAGCTGGGGGGGCCCCACGGGTCATTGCTGGTGGCTTCGCGCACCTTAATCTCTGCCTCAGAGTAGTTGTGCACGATGTTCTTCACCTGGCGCCGCAGTGCAGAGGTGGTCATGGCTGGGGACCCGCAGGTGGGTGGCCCCCACCCCAGCTGGAGGTGGGGGGCCGAGGGCCACTGACGAGAGGTCACCGTCTCCAAGGCTGGGTCCTCGTGCTCTCAGCGGGGTAGCTGTGTCCTGGGGCCCCACATGGGTCTGAGAAAGAGAGGGTCCGGAACTCAGGGCCAGGGGTCCACTTGGCTGGCCTCTCAAGGCCTGGGCAGGTGTCCCGCTGCCAGGAACAACCATCAACGGGCACGTGTTTGTATTTTTCTTATTTTACTTGCTCTCCTGCAGGCCTGGCCAACTTCACATGCTCACCAGCTTCCCACTCACACTCCAAGGACACAACTACTGCTGTCTCCTCTTAGATGGGGAAAGCAAGCTCCCAAGGAGGGCTCGGTGACTCGAGGACCTCACAGCGGCAAGTGGGGAGCCAGGATGAGCCAGGCAGACAAACCCCACAGTCCTTGTCTTTAGGAAGGGATATGAACGTGAACCCCAGGAATGCCTACTTGCCTCCCTCCTGCTGGGCTCCCCCTCCTCTGCCTGGGTCTAGCTCAAATCTATCCCTTCCATCTTCTCAGCCCTCACTTTCCTCTCATATTGTAATTTTTTGTAGCTTGACTCATTCAACACCCATTTCTCAGGGCCTTCTCTGAGCCAGGCACTATGCCAGGCACAGAACGCAATCTCCTGACCTACCCGCGTCCCACTGAGAAGGCACAGACAGTCACCGTCCAGCTTGGGAATGCAGAGAGCAGGAATACCCAGGCTGAGAAAGTCAGGGCCGACTTCCCAGAGGCGATGTCTGAGCTGAGGTCCAAGACCTGAAGGGAAGGATGATGCGGAATGAGCCGGCAGGGCGGGAAGGGCAGCTCAGAGACAACGCTGTCAGCTAGGGCAGAAGGCAAGAGAAGCAGCGGCAGCAGGGGAGGCCGGAGGTGTGGCCACCAGCACCCTTTGGTGCGGGAGCGCCTTGAGCCCAGAGAGGAGATGTGGCCGCCACGGCCCCAGGAGGCGGGGACGGGACTAACGCCTAAGTCTCCGCAAGACTAACCCAATACTTACTGTCAGTGACGCCGGCTTTGTAACTCATTTGTCTGTACGCCCACCGCCTCCCCCTCAGAGTGTGAGCTCCCTGGAGGTAAGACCAGTTTGGGTTTCCCAAGGCGCGAGGCCCTGGACCCTTACTAGATCTCTGATGCCCCGGCTGAGGGAGGGCCAGGGCCAGCCCACTGCCCACCCCACAGCTTCAGGCCAGGCCTCGTGCTCAAAGCAAACCCGGGTCCAAGGGAGACTAGTCCTCCTAGCACCCTGACAGACACCAAAACGGGAGCCCCCGCCACACTGCCCTTTGTCTGCGCTGGGCGTGCACACAGGGCTGGGCCTGCATGCCTCTCCTTGCCCAGCCCAGGAAACCCACTCCCAGGCAAGGCAGCTGCAGCTCTCAGCTCTGTCCCCAGCAGGAGGCAGGAGTCTGCACCTCACCCCTACACGGAGGCAGGAGTCTGCACCTCACCCCTACACACACACACACACACACACACACACACACACACACACACACACACACAC